CCACCACCACCACCACCACCACCACCACCACCACCACCACCACCACCACCACCACCACCACCACCACCACCACCACTACGCGCGAGCACCCAGCTGCGCCAGCATTGTTTCTTATGTTGTGGGAGGGCGGAACGTGTCCGTTGTTCCATTCAACATGGCCAACCTTGTCGCCGACGATGCGAAACGCGTGGCGGGAATGGGACGCGGCGCACATCCCGCGCGGACGTCAATGCGGTGTCCTGGGGTATCCTCCACTCGCACTGAAATGCGCGCGCAGCCCCCAGTTGTGCCATCACTGTTTCTTATGTTGTGGGAAGGCGGGTGGGAATGGGCATGCCATGCTTGACTCGCTCGAGCTGGCTAGCTTGATCCTCACCCTTACCGTAACCCCCACCCCTGACCCCAAATCCAAACCCTAGCTCCAAACACCACTCACTATTCACTACGCACTATTCACTACCCCCAATTCACTACTCGCGAACCACTACTCACTTACCACTTCTCACTACCCACTACTCACGACTCACTACTCACTACCCACGACTCACTACCCGCTACCCACTACTCACTAGTCCCTACTCCCTACTCACTACTGACTACTCACTACCCACTCCTCACTACTCACTACCCACTACTCAATACTCACTACCCACTAAGCACAACTCACAACCCACAAATCACTACTCATCCCCCACGGACTACTATCCACTACTCACTACCCACACTTCACTACTCACTAATCACTGCCCGCAACTCACTACTCACTACCCACTACTCGCTACTCGCTACTCCCTACACAGTACTCGCTACTCATTACTCGCCAATCCCAATGCCCCACTCGCTACCCGATGCTCACTATTCACTACCCACTAAACACTACCCACTACGCTCCCACTACTCACTACTCACTACTTCCTACTCCCTACTCACTACTCCCAACTCACTACTTACTACTGACTACCCAGTACCCAATACTCATTACTCACTGAACACTACTCACTGCCCACTGCTTGCCATGCACTAAGCACTACTCCCTACCCACTAACAGTTATCCACTACTTACTATTGAGTACTCACAGTTCACTACTCACTACGCACTGCCCACAACTCACTGCTCACTATCCGCTATTCGCTACCCAATACGAAATATTCACTACCCACTACGCGCTACTCGCTACTCCCTACTCCCTACTCACTAGTCACTAGTCGCCTGTCGCTACTCACTACTCACTACGCACGACTTGCTACTCACTACTCACTGGTCACTACTCGCAACTCCCTATGCACTACCCACTGCTCAATACCCACTTCTCGATTCTCAGTACTCACTACTCACGACTCCCTGCTCAGTACTCACTACTCACTACTCGCTACTCCCTGCTCGCTACGCACTACTCCCTACTCACTACTCACTACTGCTTCCTGACTACTCCCTCCTCACTACTCACTACTCACAAAGCCCTACTCGCTACTCACTACTCACTACTCGCTACTCCCTACTCGCTACTCGCTTTACTCGCTACTCACCACCCACTACTCACTACTGTCTATCCACTGCGCACTACTCACTACTCACAACTCACTACTTCACTCCTCGCTATTCGCTACTGTCTACTCCCTCATCCCTACTCCCTGCGTACTACTCACTATGCACTACTCTCTGCACACTACTCACTCCTCAGTACTCACTACTCATAACTCCTTACTCTCTACTTCCTTCCAAGTACTCACTACCCACTACCCACTACTCACTACCCACTAATCTCTACGCGCGCTACCCATTACCCACTACTTACTACTCACGACTCACTGCGCACTACTCACAATCGAATACCCACTACTCACCAATCGCTACTCAAAACACTCTATTCTCTACTCACTGCCCGAGAGGTCCCCTCCCCAGCCCCCTTGTTCGGCGCAAAGGGGGGGAGGGGTTCGACCCCCCCCCTTCCAGCGCCAAGGGGGGGAGGGAAGGGGGGGGTCTGCGAGCACCTCCCCCTTTTGTGTATTCAGGGCCATCCACTGGCGCGC